GCAGCGCCGCCCCCGCCAGTCCAAAACAGTACAGTGGCACCTTTAAGAGCAAGTTTTATTCAGGTACAAGCTCTCCCTCCTCTGCGAGGACAGATCTGCAGGTCCCCCCCCCAATAGCTAGCAATCCAAAACAGTCCAGTGGAGCCTGAGCGGTGGGTGTTGCCTTCTGACACACTTCCGGTGATGTCAGGTGGTGTGGCATATGCAAATGAGTTGTGCAAATGAGTTATGCTAATGAGCTCCTGCACCTCTTTTTCTACAAAATGACCCCTGGTTCAGATAACAGGGCACATAGCATGGGGCTATAACTCTCTGGCCTCATATTACACACAACACACACCAGAGGGACTTTGGTGACAGGAGCACTGAGCACAAATAGCAAAGGAAGAGAACAAACTTTTGGGATATAGCAGAGTTTTGCCCAGCCATAGAAGCGTGATAGAGGGCAGTAAATAAATCTCCCAAGACGTATATTGCAAAAAAGGTAGATCCAGTTCACATTCAGGTTGCAGTCAAAAGAAGAGAAAGAAGCCTAATCTAAAGAGTCCTTTCCCTATCGGAAAAGGCCAGCTTGTCCGGCATAATGTGTAAGGGGGTATGAGGGCATTGTCTCTACGGGAGAGACCCGCAGAGACATGTGTCTCCATGGAAAGCCACGTGCAGTGAGTGAGAGGACAAAGCCAGAGAGAAGAGGGGTAAGAGGACAGCACCCAGGTTAAGACAAAGAGAGGCATCTCATTCAAGGAGATAACACCTCGCAGGGCTCTTTTTGTAGCAGGAACTCCTTTGCATATTAGGCCACCGCCACCCCCCCATTGTAGCCAATCCTCCAAGAGCTTACAGAGCTCTTCTTACAGGAGCTACTGTAAGCTCTTGGAGGATTGGCTACATTAGGGGTGTGTCGCTTAATATGCAAATGAGTACCTGCTACAAAAAGAGCCCTGCGAGGGATGTAGCCCCCCCCCCAATGTCCAGGCATGCTGACTTGCTCACTCCAATACAGAAATGCTAGCAGTTGTCTAATGCTGCCCTGCTGAGAACCTTTACAGGTGCTCATTCATCCTACTGGAAAAGATTAACAGCAGGATATCCTACATCAGGGATCCCTAATGGGCACTCGCCAAAACAGAGCCTCTACTCCCCCAGTGGGTGGTGATGGTGCAAGGACAAGGAACCACACACAGGTAAGCAAGGCAAGGGTAGTCCCCCACCTTAAACTAGGACTGCAGCAATTGTTTCTCCCTGCCCTCCTGTGCCTGCTGTATATATCACCTCAGCAAACCTGTCTCCCACAAAATTTACCTTTACCAGCAGTAAATATTACCATCCTGAAAGGGGAGGGGACTGGCAGATTCATTAGCACTACATTATTGTGCTGAAATACAACAACAGTCCAGGGTGACCTTCTGCCACTCCATTATGTGGTACTGCTGCTGACCAAACACCTATGATGCCTATATGCTTTGTAGGATCAGAACCCCATGGAACAGTCCTAGTGATACTGCAGAAACAGTTCCAGTGCAATTCCATATAAGTATGCATAAGCAGTGGCTTAATTCCCCCTTCCCACAAGTGCATCCCATCATGTGGTAACCCCTAAGGTAGAGGAGGGAGCTGAGGACCTTGCCAGAACACCATGTGCAGACCTTTGTAGTCCACTTGCTCTTTGCTTTTACTGTGGGACAGTCCTCGTTACAGTCCTTGTGTACCTCTGGATTCTCTGTAGACAGCCAACCCCAACCGGAAGAGAAGTCACGAAGGGTCCCCATCCCCAGTATGCTGCCAACAATCTGCTGAGTTTACCACACAACCAATAGCTGTACTGACCAGAGGGTATTGAGCTGCTCTGCTGTGGGGTTTCCAACTGACCTGTTCTAGCCTTGCTTCTGTAACCTAGGGTTGCCAACTGCCTGGCTAAAGATTCTCAGGTCTTTGAACCTTTCCTCATAAAGCTTAGTTTCCAGATCCCTCACCATCCTAGTCATTCTGCTCTGGTGTAGGGTTGCCAATTGCCTGGAGGAAAAAAAAACCACGTCCCTTTAACAGAGGCTTCATGGGATGCCATTTACAGTGCCATGTAAAAATTTTGCTTCTTTCCACACATTAAGCATCTATTAAAGGGATAGAACATTAGAGATGATTGTACTGAATTTCTCACTGGATTGATTGCCATGCAGAAAGACTTGCTTCTAATTATTTTTCAACATGCTTTACAATACAGGTATAATTTCATCCTTCATCTGGCTTGTTTTCTTTTTATTTCAGATTTGGGAAATGTGAACTTTTAAAAAGTCTTTATTTTACTTACTGTAGTGAAGAAACAGCAAGATGGCTAAACCTGGAGCAAAAGGAAATGGAAGACAAATTTATTGGAGAGTTGTCCTATATTGTCAGCATTGTCTAGTTCCCTGATTCTAGGATAATGATTAAATAAAAACAGTAACATTCTTATTTTTACATGGATTCAAAATGGTTTACAGTACAAAACAGGAACACAAAATATCCTAATCATTAAGTATACCAATATCAAATAAGTAAAAAAAATAAAATGTATAATTTGAATTAACTCTTGAAGAGAGTTTGCATATGGCATCTGACAGCAAAGCTGGTTCTGTGAACTTAGGCAGACCATGAGAAGGAGGGCAGGAAGGGCTGTATCAGTATTTAGTTCTCGGGGACCAGGGAAATGCTGATCGCCACTTTGGGGTCAGGAAACAATTTTTTCTCCAGGCCAGTTTGGCCAGGGATCCTGGAGGATTTTTGCCGTCTTCTGGCCATGGAGCAGGGGTCACTGGGTGTTTGTGTGGGGGGAGGTATTTGTGAATTTCCTGCATTGTGCAGGAGGTTGGACTACATGGTCCTGGAGATCCCTTGCATCTCCATGATTCTATGATTCTAATGTGACTGTTTAAAATGGGAAGAGCATGACAAGGAAAGTTAACTCCAGTCTTGTGCTCGAGGGGTGGGAGGGTGTACAGGGTGCATGCAGAAAACTTGTTTGGTCATTCAACTGGTACACCTCAGTTCCATTTGCAATTCTGACTACCACTGTCACCAAGTGGCCTTGGCCAAGAAAGTGGAGAAACGATTCTGCACAGAATGAAATGCATGTGTGCATTCTTGTTGTTCTGTAGGTACCATAACATTGGTACTAGTAGTTTAGGGAAAGTAGAGTGTTTCTGAAAAACAGACTGAAAATCAGGAATACTTGTATTCTTACTCTGGCTTCATAGATTTCATGTGAGAAGTACTGGTAAACACAACAGTGAAAACTGAACAGTGAAAAGGCCAACACTATGCTGGGGATTATTAAGAAGGGAATTGAAAACAGATCAGCCAGTATCATAATGCCCCTGAATAAATCAATGGTGTGACCTCATTTGGAGTACTGTGTACAGTTCTGGTCACCACACCTCAAAAAGGATATTATAGCATTGGAAAAAGTGCAGAAAAGGGCAGGTAGAATGATAAAAGTGTTGGAACACTTTCCCTATGAAAAAAGGTTAAAACGCTTGAGGCTCTTTAGCTTGGAGAAACAATGGCTGAGGGGTGACATGATCGAAGTTTATAAGATTATTCATGGGATAGAGCAGGTTGAGAAAGTACTTTTCTCCCTTTCTCACAATACAAGAACTCGTGGGCACTCAATGAAATTGCTGAGCAGTCGGGTTAGAACAGGTAAAAGGATCTACTTCTTCATCCAAAGAGTGATTAACACATGGAATTCACTGCCACAGGAAGTGGTGGCGGCTACAAGCACGGATGGTTTCAAGAGGGAATTGGATAAACATATGGAGCAGAGGTCCATCAGTGGCTGTTAGCCACAAGTTATAGATAGGAACTCTCAGGCTGGGGCAAGTGATGCTCTGTATTCTTGGTGCTTCGGGGGGGGGGAGGGGGGGGGCTTCTAGTGTCCTGGCCCCACTGATGGCACCTGGTATTTTTGGCCACTGTGTGACAGAGTGTTGGACTGGATGGGCCATTGGCCTGATCCAACATTGGCTTCTCTTATGTTCTTATGAACTCACAATGTGCCTTCTGCTATGTTAACACTACTTGAAGCGTTCATAATTATAAACATATCTGAATACTGCATTACAGCATTTCAGGTGAGTAGCCGTGTTGATCTGCAGTAGAAGAACGAGAGCATAGTACTGTAAAGAGCAAGGAGATTTCAGAGTCAAAGCTCCCTTCTTCAACTCTGGTGAAGGGAACTTTTGACATTCAAAAGTTTATATCCTGGAAATCTTCTTGTTTTATAAGTTGGTACTAGACTTGAATCTTGCTGTGCATTAGAGCAGCATCTGTTTTAGTCATCGATCATAACCAGAAATGTGAAAGCCATGCTGACAAGAAAATTCTTTAATACAGTTTTATCATTGTCCTGGACAGTGCATCAGATTGCTTTCTGAAAACCTCAAGCTGCTGCTGCCACAAAAAGGGATGCGGAACCTTTTTGCCACCAGCCATATTTCTGCTGCAAATCACCCCCCCCCAAGCTGCCTTTACTTGCATAACATTCCAGAAACATATTTATGAGCATAAACACATGTCTGAATTTCAGACACTGGAACCCTGTAGGAGGAAAAAAGCTTGGGAAGCAATTTGGAGCACAAAAAAGGCCAACAGGGAATATGTTAACACCCCCTGTTAAGCAGTTAAAAAACAAACAAACAGCTGTCAGTGCTTTTTTTACAAACTTGCCCCTCAGAATCTTTAGTTTCCTAACAGAGTTTATGGAATATTCTCTCTTCTGCAAGTGTTTAACTAGTTATTCACAGCTTTAAAAGTGCCAGAATGTACCGTAGAACATTCAGATAAAGATATTGGTTGATAGGTGGCCTTCTTTGAATGTGTCAGAGAGTAACTTGCCTACTTAGTGAGAGGGAAGGCAGAAGCTCTTTTTTGGGGGGGGTGGGGAAATGCTGTTCTTCTCCCTCCATAGCAAAGTGCATCTGCTGAAACCCCCCTCTTCTGCCTAATATCCAAGTTACACTGGTGAGGGTTCCCAAAAGGCCTGAGAAATTTCCCAAGTCCCCCAACCCTGTTCTCTGTTGCATCTGATCACCCCAGCCTGTCCTAATACCTCAAGTCTGTGAACAGAGTAGTTGACATTTACAACTTAATTTTTAAAAAATTGTTGGTCTTCAGTATTGGTGTTTCTTCCTGCCAGCTTCAAGACATGACATGTATTGTACAGCAGCATATTTAAAAAGATGAAATCCAGCAAAGCAGTTCATAATCATCTGCATGTTATTTATTGAAAACATACTTACCAGCCCCAGTGAACATTTGGCTCATGCTGCTTGCCATGTTTCTGGATCCTGTCCCTCAGAAAGCAGATGGATGTGCCTGGAGTATGCCTCAGCTCACTCTGTTTTTATACCACAAAGAGTGTGTGTGAAGAAACCACATTTCCCATCCACCTGTGGTTACGGTGTGTTGCAACTGAAGTGGTGATTACAGAATTACATCATCACAAGTGGCTAATCAGTTTTTCTTGGCACTCAGAAAGATGCCTACAAAGACTGGATGTCCAAAAATCAGGAAAGGAAAGGAGAAAAACACCTAATAGACATTAGGAGCAAAGAAATGTAACAGTAATTATGCTGGTGGTGAAGGAGTGAAATGATTTTTGCTGATTCCCCTTGGCTTGATAGACATTAGGAGCAAAGAAATGATTTTTGCTGATTCCCCTTGGCTTTTTTCCATCAGGTGAGTAGCTGTGTTGATCTGCAGTGTCATCACTCGTATGCTGTTCATGACCTCTGACCTCGGAATCTGAATTCTAGGGAGTTCAGGGGGCTGCAATGGCGGGGGGGAGTCCTATAAGTTTCACTCCACTGACAGTACTTTGGACCCAACCATAAGAAATGTACTTTTCTGCACATGCTGATGCAGGAGCAGTCTTCAATAATCTGACATGTTGCATGATCAGATCTCATCGTAGTCCAGCTAGAGAGGTCACAAGCTTTGTGGCAACCACAGCTGATATATGGACATGCCCTGTCTGAAAGCCATGATGATCTGTGAGCTGAACATCCTGTCTGCGATTTGCCATGAACACCCGTTGAACAGCTTTGCAACTGTTCAGTAGTTGTGGTCGTGACCAAGTTTCATTTCCTTGTGGAGTGGGGTTTTATGACCCTGCCTTGCATGGTCTTATGCATTTGTGTGGTAGGTGAGATGATTCTACCCAGGGTCAGGAATGGTCAGGTAATCTTGGCCTCCCCTGCCTATGGAATCACATCACAGAAAAATCATTGGGTTAGTCATCCTGCAAGAGACACTAAGGACTGCCCTGGAGTCCCATTTGGTTTATTGCCATCTACTTCTATTGTCTGCTTATTACTGTTTGATTGCTGATTGTTTTAATTTGATTTTATCATATGTTATTATTGTTTGTTTATATATAAGTGCTGTGAGCCTCCCTGAGCCCGTCTCAGGCTAGGGTGGGATATAAACCCAATAAAATAAAAATAAATAAATAAGATAGTTAAATGACATGAGGGGGCAACTATGCATTCCATGGTCTGTGCAAAAATACGCATACATTAAACAATGTTGACAACAAAGAGTGAAATGAAATAAAATGGTATTTTTTTAAAAAAGCACACTTATCAGCTGATTTATTTGCTCACTGTTTATTTAAATGATTGGATACCAAGTGGTATATGACAACAGGTCTATGGGGGAGGGAAGGAGGGAAGGTAAGACTCCCATCAAGCTCAGACTCTGCATTCACAAAACTGCTGATTGCATTGTAGTGTATTGTCTGAATACATTAAAAGTAATCAATTGAACATGTCTGAACTGTTCACAAACAACTGAACTATTTGAAAAATTGGCTTTCTGTTTGCTGCCAGCAAACAGACCATAAACCGAACTGGTGGTTGTTCAAGGACCCCTAATTATGGCTATGTTTACTTTTTGATCCTAGGATATGGTGAGCGTTACCACAGACTCGCAAAAATGTGATCATTGTGAGCCCCAACCCCCACCAAGCTTGCGCTGGGGGGGAGGGCTGATTTGCCTCCTTGAGAGGCAGAAAGTAGAAGACACCGATAGGGGGCGGAGCCAGCCTATTTAAGCCTGGCTCCTGCCCCCTACCGCTCCAGTCCTTTAGCGTGCTTGGGAGAGAGCATGTCGGGCTCTGCCTCCTCGCCTGGGCAAGGGGCTGCATGGGCTGCTTGGGGTGGCTGCGCTGGCGGCCCAATCCTGGGTGCCGCGCCAGCAGCCTGCTCCGGGGGTGGGTGGTGCTGGCGGTCTGATGTGGGTGGCAGCAGCTGTGGCCCGGGGCTAGCAGTCATACTGACGCCCTGCTTTGGGGGGTGGCGGCAGCCCGAAATGAATGGCCGCACTGGTGGCCTGCTCTGAGGGGGCCGCACCGGGGGCCGCCATGCTGGGCGTTGTAGCTGGCCTGGGACCTGCCCACATTGGCGGCTTGCCATTTGGCCCGGGGCCACATACAGGCTAGATTTGGGGCCGCGTCAGAGGCCAGCACCTCTCAGTGATTTAAACATCTAGAGACCTCTTTCTACCTGGTAGAGGGTGGCTACAGTATGTAAGGCTGCTGGCCACCCACCCCTACCCTGCCATTTCTTCCTCCTTCACCACCGTCCTCCTATTAGAAGCCTTTTCTTGCCATACATTTCATAGGGCAGCCATTTTCTCTCAGTAATTGCAGCAGTGGCAGCCATTTTAGGATGGTTCCCTAGTCAGCCATTTTGAGATTGTCCTTTAGGAAGCCTTTAATGGAAGGGAGTTCTGGAGGCCAATTAGGTTTGAAATGGTACTCCCTTTACTTACTTTTATTACATTTTCATGTTGTCTTTTCACCTGATTTGAAGCTCAAGGGGCAAATAATTTGTGTGCTGACATGCCAGCTTTATTACCTCTTTATATAAGGGAAATGCCCTTGATCTGACGCAACACATGATCTGCACCCAGGTCCCCCACCCATTTGATTGCACCTGGACACCATGAATGTTTGACTGGTGTAGTAAGAGGTGTAGCTCAATGGTAGAGCATTTTCTTGGCATGCAGAAGGTCCCAGGCTCAGTCCAGTTAAAAGGTACAGGCGGGAGGGGATGGGAAAGACTTCCACCTGAGACCCTGGAGAGCCATGAAGCGGGGCTGTAGCTCAGTGGTAGAGCTTCGCTAATGTAGTTGCTGGATGGGCTTGTTTTAGTCAGAGCTGTTTTCTCAAGGACGGTTCTGGAAGGAGCTCTTTCGGCCCTACCCACCTTGCAGGGTGTCTGTTGTGGGGAATAGGAGGGAGGAGTTTGTGGGCCACACTGAGGCTTCAAGTGAGGGGCTGAGTATAAATCCTATGTCCCCTTTCCTTCCTTCCTACATCCGCTGTTGTTGGCATGGTTTTTAAGGTAGGATTAGGGTACTAATCTCTGCAATAACTGCCTGGAGGGCATTTCAGGAAGAGATCAGTGTCCCCTCTAAGCCAAATAGGTGTGGGCTAGCTCACAGCTCTGGATCATACATTTTGTCTTGGCTCGGGCTGGATGGCTCCAGAGCAAACTGGTTTGTATAATAGTCAAATCGCTCGACCACAACTTTGGTGCCATAGCCTCTCATAGGTGGAATTTTGCTCACAAGACTTCACAACTTGGAGGGAGTATTGGAAGAGATGGGTATCAGTGACAGACCATCTGCTTCATGTGCATATGGTCCTGGGTCCCATCTCAGCATCTTTAGTGTAAGGATTTGGAGATGGTGAGATGACAGACCTCTGCCTAAGACATGGAGAGCCTTTGCTGCTCTGAGCAGGCAATACTCATTAATTAATTAATTTATTATTTATTACATTTCATTTGTATACCGCTCACCCCCTGAGGGCTCTGAGCAGTTCACATTACATTATACAACACATGCCAATCCTAACCTAGGGCCACATACAAGGGGGAAGAGTGACTAGCCTACCAGGCACCCTGTAGCGAGTCGTTGTTGTCTGCGGGAGCTCGTCCGATGACGTCCTCCTAGCGCTGGTCTTTAATTGTTGCAACTTCCTGGCTGTTGCGACTCCTTCGAGCCTGGACCGAGAGCACGTCTGCGCATGCTCGCTGCCGGCCTCTGTCCAGTAGGCTCCGGCCTGCTGCGTCGCCCCGCCTCCATGCTTTTGCCGGCCCAGCCTCCTCTCACTCGCTTTGCCTCGCCAGCCGCCACCATGTTTCTCTGCCGCCGCCGCCCGCTCACCGCTGCCGCTACACCGCAAGGGACGGGTGCCCCCCCCCGCTCTAAGAGCAGGTACCCATTTGTCTATTTGCCCTTTAACGGGCTATCGAAGGGGCTATTCCTTATTGCAGCAGGGCTTATTATATTTGAAACTGTAGACAAGGGTTTCAATTCAAATTGACATATTTATTTGGCTTTATTCTGAGAAAGACAGTTAAATTGCCAATCTTCCAATTGGCCCTAATGCATATAGGGATTTTTTTCCGGTGCAGTGGTTGGAATGAAATCAAGTGTAATCTGAATGGAAACAGCCATACTTTTAGGGTTTCCTTAGGCGAAGGAATCCTTGTCAGCAACAGGTGAATTCGACAGTGTGAATGCACTCTGAGTTGGCAAATTGGCTTGGTCTTTGTCATGGGTTAGGATTCGAAAATATCCATTACAATATGTCATTTGTACCTTCTGTTTTCTGTTTTAGCAGGAATACAGTGTGATTTCCAACCTGATGCTGTGACCTGGGAATTTGACAGCCAGCACGTCGTTACATGTCATTGGTTGGTCCTAATGAGTATTCTTCACAGGTTTAATAGCATAATTGTCTTTACGGGGTGGTCCAGTGAGTCACCATGGCCTGCGAGGGTGGCGTTGGTCATGACAGGCCATGGATGGTGCCGGCTGGGATACAGTGGCGCTGCCACAGCAATAGAAATGGGGCAGATGGCTTCCAGGGAGGTTCCGTGGGGGCTGTTCTGCCCACTCACTTGGCCAGGAAAGAGCTACTTTCTGACATGGCAGCCCAGCCTTACTCGTGTATATATGGTATAGGGTCCACTGAATACATGTTCCCATTCTGATGAATGAACATATAGCCCGCATGTTGGTGTATACGCCTTTTGTTAAAGGGGCCAGTGTACTTTACTGTGTGCTTGTCCTTGGTCTTTAGGATAGGAATCCAGTTTCTATAAGAAATTATTGATACTGTGCAACTTCAGGGTAGGGTGTTTTTTCAAAAATAAACATTTTAAACAACACATTGTAGATCAGCACTATCATGTTTTTAAAGCCAAACTAACTTTTGTTATGCTGGGTCTCAGTGGTTTGCAGAACTGGGAAAGATTAAATACCAAGAAGTGTTTTTAGAATGCCTTATGGGGGCA